AAAATGCTGGGATTACAGGCTTGAGCCACTGTGCCTGGCAATGACCTCATTTTAAAAATCCTAGTTTGAATAACCCCACTCTGGCAAACGTCTGTTTACCTAGTAACAATACATACTATTTATTAATGATTTACTATGTTCCAAGTCTAAACACTGTACCTGCATTTACTCATTAAGTTCTGAGACCAACCCAACAGGTAGGTATTTTTACCCTCATTTTATGACCGAGTAGCTCTGATCATCCATCTATCCCTCCTGTCCCTTACTCTGTCTCTCGTCTTCCAACTTCCACAGAAAATAACTGTCACTGTCCTACTCACTAATGGCAGAGCCACTGTGATGTATATCCATGGGACCCTGGGTGCAGTGGTGTCCACATCCATAGCACCCCCTCTAGTTCTGCAGGGCACAGCCTTTACAGCTGTACATACTGGTCCCAGCATTGTGAGTCATAGAAGTTTGGTAAATTTTCCAGGGTCTCACAGCTAGAACTGAAGCTCTAAAACCTCACAGATGAGGAAAAGGAGGAACTGTATAATAAGAAATGTCTATGACCCTGCCAGGAAGGAAAATGAACAAACTTGAAAATCAGTATATTTAGTCACACAAGCACAGGTAAGGATGAGAGGTCAAGAAGTCACATATCCTAGTGATTGATTATACCAAGCGACAATCTCCCAAGTCTTCCTGGACATGACCCAAGACTACCTCCCCAAGCCATGTTATATCGTGGTGGAGAATAAAGCCTCCAAGCTCTCCTTCCTCAGTGCATTTTTTCCCCAGTGTAACAACCCTACGGCCAAGCTTCTTGCCTCTGAAGTTCCAAGGTAGAATTAATGGCACTCTGTACAGTACATCACACTGTCCCTTGTATTAGAATAATTTTCTGTGGGTAACCCCTTTGGGTTCCCTCCCACTGTGGGAGCTTTTCTGTTCCTTCAATAAATCCTGCTTTAAGCCAGGCGTGGTGGCTCACACCTATAATCCTAGCACTTTGGGAAGCCAAGGTGAGAGGACTGCCTGAGCTCACGAGTTCAAGCCCAGTCTGGGCAACTTGGTGAGACCTATCCTCTACAAAAAATCAAAAAATTAGCCAGGCATGGTGGCATGTATCTGTAGTTCCAGCTACTTGGAAGGCTGAGGCGGAAGGATCACCTGAGCCCAGCTGGTTGGGGCTGCAGTGGCTGTGAGCAACATACTCCAGAGTGATTCTCTGGAGTGATTCTCTGACTAAATAAATAAATAAATAAATAAGTAAATAAATCCTGCTTTTGCCGAGCTCGGTGACTCAGCCTGTAATCCCACGCCTTTGGGAGACTGAGGTGAGTGGATTGCCTG